CGCCCGCTGGTCAGTTTCAGCAGCAGCTGACTTGGGGATGCCCAGGGCAGAGCAGCTGGGGTGCTGCTGGGTTGGTCCCGTAGCGCCGCCGCCCCATTTCCCCCATCCCACCCCAGACCCCTCATAGCCCCCCCTTCTGATAGTCCGTCATATTTGATAATCCGGCACCCCCTGAGTCCTAAAGGTGCCGGATTATCGGAAGTTTACTGTATTTTGACTTCATCTTTGCAATTGACATAGCTCATGTTGTGTATCTTAATTTGACTTTTGCCATGCAGTGTAGATGTGCCCTTGTTTATCTGTTCTGTTCACTCCCTCTGGGGCATCTGGCATTGGCCACTGTTGGCAGACATAATACTGTATTGCTGTTCTTGTGTAAAGAAGGGGTGGGGCTAGTGTTTGATTCTGTGCTATTAGAAAGTTGGCACCCCTAATGCACATATGTGTATAGAATCAGGCCCATTAGCTTCAATGGAGTTTGAACTATGTACACCATGCAGATTTTATCTGATATCTTACATTCACTATAACAAATGTATTGTGAGAGTTGTTATTGAAATGGGTTCTTATCTATAACAATATTTCAGGACTTCTGTAGTTGGAGCCTGGACCCTATGATGGTATTACATGCTATAAACTTAAAGTGTGTTCCTTATGAAAATGAACACCTGTAAATAAATCTTTGAAAGCAATTTTAAACAGGTGCTCAGTGACTTCTGTGAAAGTATTTCACCACCAGCCAGTCCGAGCCTGAACAGGCACTCCTCAGTTTAAACATCTGACTTACCAACATCTGCATGTACAAACAAAAGCTCCCCTGCCGTTGAGGGAGCAGACAAAAGGCACAGGCGGTGGTGGGTGGTGCAAGTGCTGGCCAGAGAACTCCAGAGGAGCAGGAGGTGGTCTCCCAGCCAGCAGCTCCCTGGCTGCTCCTTGGCCACCCCCTGTCCTCCAGAGTCCTCTGGCCTGCATTTGTGCTGCTTGCTGCCTCCTGGTGAGCTGGGGCTGGGTGCAGCCTATGGGGGAGGTGAGTGGGGAATGGGGATGTCTGCAGGAGCCAGTAGGGATGGGAGGGTAGCTGGGGGATGCTCAGAAGTCCCCTTTCAGAGTCTCCTAATTCCTCATTCTTCTCTATTTAAACCCACCTCTCCTCAAGCACCAACATTAAGGTTAAATAAAAAACTATTATTTTTCATTGCAAATATAGAGTATTTCAGCTGCATTATGGATTAAATAGGCTTTTTTGGGCTAGCCTGGGAGCCTAACTACTATTTATAACATTGTTTCTATGGAAAAATGTGTTCCAAGTTCCCACCAGCTGACTTACAAGCTATCTTTTGGAGCACAACCCATTTGTGAATTGGGGACTTTCTTTATTGCTTATGGAGTTAACAGTCCTGGCCTTGGCTCTTGTGCTGGGATACCCAGATTACAACGTTACACTTGCTGATCTAGTACCTAAAATTAATGGAGCTCTGCTCTTTGGGATCAAGCTGTCAGGATTCTAGATTTCTAGTGGTCTGTTCTACTGTCCAAAAGCAAGTTCACCCCACTGAAGAATTATCTCCTTCCTCTGGACTGGCATAGTTCCTTCAAGGTTTTTAGCTGTCTGATTACTAGCTTTCTCTGGACTAAAGCTGCTTCTATAACCTCTGGCACCTGTGTGATTCCACTCGCTGAAGGATTCTGGATATATTATTACTCCTCCCTTTGTTTCCCAGAGACCCAGGGTTTCCTCCATTTTAAAAGCCACTCCAGTAATTCTTCTCTCCCACTTGAGTTGTACAAGAATTCTTTAACTCTTCAAAACAACACAGGTGCGTATTAATGTGAGGGGCCAGTTTAAGTGGTGAATGTACTCCTCTCCTTACCCTCTTGCAGTACATGCAATTTGGGAGGACAATTTCTTGCTTCCTATGATATGATACTTGGCTGAGCTTCATCTCTTCCTTCATCCTTTTTCCCTCTCTGCAACCCATGAAAGGTGTCTTGGCATAGACTGCCTGGAACCTGATACCGGAAACGATTTTTTAGTTTTGTCACGCCTCACATACCGAAGACTGGTGTTCCTTCTAACCTTTTCCACCCATGTGTGGATTTTTTTCCATCTGTGTGGAATAATTGTATGTGTAAATGTACACCACCAATAGAAACACAAAACTAGCTGTGGGTGCTCTGCTAATCAGCTGGGTGGCATTTGTATTTCCCCTGAGTGGCCACACAAGCACAAACCTTACAGGGAACACTTAAGACTGACAACTTTCTGACTGCAGGAAACTGAACATCCTTACCCTACCTCATCCCTTTTCCAAGGCTTTGCCCCGCTCACCCCCATCACCCTTCTTTCCATTGCTTGCTGTCCTCCACCCTTGCTCACTTGCTTGTTTTCACCAGGTTGGAGGGGCAGACTCTGGGGTGGCGCCAGTGATGAGAGATTTGGATTTCAGGAACGGGTTCTGGGATTAGGCCAAGGGGTTTAGAGTACAGACGGGGCTAAGGGAGAGAGGGTGAAGGATGCTCCTGATGATGCTGACTTTCAGTGGCTCCTGAGAAGCAGTTACATGTCTGTTTTGGCCAGGGGCTCTGCATGTTCTGCTCCTATTTGCAGGTGCTGCCCCTGAAGCTCCCTCTGACTGTAGTACCCAGCTAGTAGGAACTCAGGAGCCGGTGCCTGGTGTGGCATCTGCACTATGGGCAGGGGAAGCATGTGGAGCCCTCCTGGCTCCATTTAGGAGTTGGTAGGATGTGCAGGCCAGTTCCAGGAGCTGTGTGGAGCTGACTGCTGAGGCCAACTGGACTTTTAGCAGCCCAATCCGCAGTTCTGATCAGAGCCAGCTGTCCCTTTTCAACTGTGCTTTCCTCCATCATTTAGCAGCACAATGACCGCCCAGTTCAGTGGTTCTCTCCTATTGGTGACTCTGCTGAAAGCACACCATTCTTTTCCCGTTTAAAACAACAACAAACTTGCCTCTTACAAGGTTGCTTCAGAATTTCTTAACACTGCTTCACCTCAGTGCCAGAAACCAGACAGGCACTGCAGATGATGGAATAAGAGAACTCTCTGAGACCAGGAACTACTGGAGTCCTTCCAGAGAGAAACTTAAATATATCTTTTACTAAACATATGCAACGTGGGTTTCCTGGAATTGATGGAGAGAGTCTAAACATGTTAGAAGGTTTTTGGTTTTGTTTGCTTTTACAAAGCATGCTATAGTAGACTAAGATGAACCTTGATCCTAAAGGGTATGTCTGCACTGTACACTTATTTCAAAATAAGCTATTCCAGAAAAATATCCGAAATAGCTTATTTTGAAATAGCACGTCTACACTACAGAGAAGCCTCAAAATTAGTCTGAGGCAGGTTTCCCTAATGTGGACGTGCTACCTCGATTTAGAGCCCCAGGAGGCACTGGGAATAATTAGTTTGAATGTGCCTGAGGAGGAGCTATTTCAAAGTGGCAGCAGTGGCGCATCCACACTACAGCTATTCTGAAATAGCGCTTTTGGAATAAGCATTATTTCTCGTGGAATGAGGTTTACAGAAGTCGGACTAAGTTGTCTGTTTTGAAATAATGGAATTGCTGTGTGGATGCTTGCATTCTTATTTTGAAATGTCCGTTATTTCAAAATATCTGTGTGGTGTAGGCACACCCAGAGTGATCACACATCTCTGGTAAGAATTGTGTGTGATTCTCTGGAAAGATAACAGACCAAACTCCGTGTAAATTGAATCAGCATGCTTAGCAAACTGCTTCCCCTCTCAAATTTTGCCTGGGTAAGTTCCTAGAGTTTTGCATGCTCATGTTAAAACAAGTCATTTTGGAAATCCAGCAGTAACTTTCAGAGCCATTTTTCAGGCTTCCGTTTCTCAATAACTAGAATGTTTCTCGAAGAATGAGAGGTTCTGTTCAGATACTTCTGACTCCCTTTGTGTAGAAAGCCAGTATTTCAAGTGGCTTGAAATAGTCCTGAAGTAAGTCCATGTGTTTGCTGAATATATCAAAAGGAGGCTAGGCTGGGAACTTTTCATGTTCTCAAAACACTGTTACTCTGCTGAACATAACTTCAAGATATCTCTCTCAATTTTCCATGACCCAGTAATCCTATTTGCAAAACAAAAATCCGAACTACCCATAACTTGCTCAGTAAGTGTAATATTTTATCTTCTTTTAGGAAAAGAATGCAGTCAGGATGAAAGCACAGCTGCGGCAATCTTCACTGTTCAGATGGATGACTATCTAGGTGGGAAACCTGTTCAGAGTAGAGAAATTCAAGGATATGAGTCTACTGACTTTGTTGGTTATTTCAAAGGCGGGATTAAATACAAGGTAAAGTCAGCTATGAAAATGTTTCTCCAAAACAAAGATATTCCCCCCCCCCCTATATCTTTTGATTCTGAAAAATGTTCTGCTTTCTACCCAACTTTCATACAAAGTAATCATATTAACATAGTTGATTACTAGAATTTTTGAAAAATCAAACACACTTTTACTGGTATTAAAGTTTGGTTTCTTTTTCTGATGTAATAACTACATAGGATTATAACCATGACTCTAATCACAGAAGATTAGTCTAGACCGGGCCAAATGGTGGAAAAATCTCCTCTTTTGGCAGAGGTCTTATCCCTCATGGAACGAGGAATACAGGGTTCTCCAAAAGAGTGTTTGCTCTTCTGCAAAAAAAAAAAAAAAATCCCAGAAAACCCCCACAATGTAGACCTAGCCTGAGTGGCAAGCATCCACGTCAGGGACAGGGAAATTACTCACAGAATTACTTTGGAACTGTCTCCTTCCCACACAGAACAGCACCTTGAAAGCAGGAGACCTGCGGAAGGTAGGGTCATTTGTAGAACACTGTCAGGAATAGATTATTTTGGTGTGCTGGCCATTCTGAAAAATCCAGGGTGGGAAATCACTTTAGTCAAATTGAAAATGAATTAGGTTTTGTGTGGACAAGATCAGAATGTTTTGATTTCTGACCATTTTTAAACATTTTTTTTTAATTAAAGGACATTTTGAAACTCATTTTGAATAAAAAAAAATTAAGTCAAAACATTTTTATTTGTTTTTCCTGGGGAAAAAAAAAGCAAAACCAACATGGACTTTCAGTTCATTTCAGTGTTTCCAAATCTGCAATTTTTTCACTGAGGTGTGTGTTTGCCCCTTCTAGTAAACTGTGCAGAGGCCATATGCCTCCATATGGATTCCTTCTACTCCTATTGGCTTCTCTACTGGGGTCTGCCCAAACCGTCTGAAGTGGCATTACCTTATGCTGGGTTTCTTCATGTAGTTGTGGGGAATAGTGATGAAGGGAGCATCTAGTCCCATTTTGTCCTTCCCTCACTCAGATGTTCCCCATAGTATCATTACATCCTTTCCCCTGTTCCTGACACCCTTCCCTTCAATGGTAGGGCCCAACTGGTGTATCTGAATTACAACTGCATCCTCTCTGTTTGCAAAAGTGTGCAAGGGTTGATCTGATCCCATTGTTTCTGTTCTGTACTGTGGTCAGAATGTGGATACCACATATCTCTCATCTTGTACGTGTCTGAGGGTGGGTTCGTCAATGCCTCTTTTGAAAGGAAACCAAACTTAACCAAAGTTTCTATATTTGTTTTTGTTTGTTCAGACAGGAGGTGTTGCGTCTGGATTTAAACATGTAGTCACAAATGACATGAGTGCGCAGAGACTTCTGCATATTAAGGGCCGGAGAGTAGTGAGAGCTACAGAAGTTCCTCTTAGCTGGGACAGTTTCAACACAGGAGACTGTTTCATTGTGGACCTCGGAACTGTAAGTCTTTATAGAACTAAGATTTCAAAAAACAGCAACATCCCTGCTAAGGTGTGAATGAGGCAACAGCCTGTATAATGAGGGCCCTTCCAAATTCACAGTCCAATTTAGTCAGTTTCACAAAGAGAGGATTTTAAAATGAGTACATTTTATGATTTAAGATAGTAAAATGTGAAACTTCATTCTTGTAATTGTTGAGGTCCTGTCCCAAAAAGTGGTTGTGGAGGGAGTCACAAGGTTATTGTCAACGGCGGGGGAGCTTTGCGGTCCTACCTTGCTGCTGGCAGTGGTGCTTCCTTCAGAGTCAGAGCTGGCAAGAGCCACTACCAGCAGCAACACAGAAGTAAGCATGGCCTGGTATAATATTGCCACCCTTACTACTCTGCAGCTGCCTGCAGAGCTGAGTCTTCAGTCAGCAACCATGAATCCCTGGCCACCCAGGCCTGAAGGCAGCAAAGGGTATAATGGCATGGTGCTGTCACCATTACTTCTGTCCTGCTGCTGGCAGGGCCCTGCCTTCAGAGCTGGGTGCCTGGCCAACAGCTGTGACTCACTTCTGCATGGTCTTCAGAGCTGGGCAGCCAGAGGGTATGTCTACACTAGCCCCCTAGTTCGAACTAGGGAGACTAATGTAGGCCTTCGAAGTTGCAAATGAAGCCCGGGTTTTAAATATCCGAAGGACTTAGTTCGAATTACCGTTTCACTGCCGTGTGTAGCCGCGGGCAGTTACTTCGGACTAGTGGAATTTAAAAATGGCGACCAGACGGGAACATGCAAATAAAGCCCAGGATATTTAAATCCCGGGCTTCATTTGCAACTTCAAAGGCCTACATTAGCCTCCCTAGTTCGAACTAAGGGGCTAGTGTTAGACATACCCTTAAGATTGTTTAAATTAAAGCTTCTAATTTGAACTACCGTTAAACCTCCTTGCAGGAGGAATAACAGTAGTTCGAATTAGTAGCTTTAATTCAAACTACCAGCAATACTGTGTTCCTCCCTTCTCCGCCCACCCCAGAAAGGAACCTTGTAACATCCTGTGACTCCTTCTTGGGTCAAGACCCCCAATCTGAGAAACACTAGTCTCTTCTGTGAAATCTGTACGGAGGGGATGGGGCAAACAAGATGACACCGTCCATGATATACTCTTCATGACCATGAATTTGGTAGGGCCCTATGTATAACTTAATCAGTCCATGGTACAGTGACAAAATCAAAGACCCAAGCTGACATCCTATCACATGAGGATTTGAAGGTCCTATGATAAATTACTCACAAAGGCTAACTTTAGAACATTTTTATTTTCTTTACCAATATCAGTCTTGCAATAAGCAAATTCCGATTTAGGATTCAGTCTTCCTACATACTGAATTATGGGAAAGTAGTCCATCTGAGCAGGTTTTTACTTAAAGTGAACACTGCGAGCCCAAGGTAAAGGAGATAGAGGTGTCTCATACTACTCCTGGCCCCTGCACAACCAGCCAATGGAAGCTGCCTATTTGCAGGACAGGCCGCATGTGAATTACCCCTCCCTCCTTTCCCCTGGGCTCGCAGTATTCAGAGCAGCTCATGGCAGTGGGCTGCTCTGAGCAAGTGCAGGGACAGGGCAGGCAGGGAACTTGGCTCAAGAACCTGTTGGGCTGCTGGCCAGGATCCATCTATATGAGTGCCTCCTGGACAGAGCCTGCCTCTGGCATCTCAGCCCTTCTCTCTCCCAACCCTCTGCCTCCCCTCTTGCATCCCTACATCACACAAAGCCCCTGCACTTCTATATTCCTCCTCTACGTCACAACCCCATCCCAAGCCTTGCAGCCCAATCCCCTACCCCTAGTCACAGCCTAAATCCCTGAACTCCCTCCTGCATGCTTGTCCAGATCACATCCCCTTTTCATACACTTCACTCCCTCCTGCAGGTCACGATCATCTCCTGTCCCCAAACCCCCTCCTGGGCCCTGAACCCCTTCTAGGGATGTTAGTGTATAGTCGAGTAAACGATAAGCCTGGGCTTATTGATTAATCCTATTGACTACACACTTCCTCCCTGCCCTTGCTGCCTCTGTATCAGAGGCAGCAAGTGGGGAGAGTGGGAACCGGTGCTTGTGAGGATCTGGCTTTAAGCAGGATACCCACAAGCACTGGATCCACCTGTTTCTCCCTCTCTCTTCCCTCCCCCCCCCAACCCTGCATTGCTGCTTCAGAGCAGCGAGGAGAGTGAAGAGGGCAGCCAGCTCTTTGTGCGTATCTGCTCCTGCGGGCCTTCCTCACCCTCTCTCTCCTCTTCCCCCTCCTCCCTATGCTGCTTCCTATAGAGGCAGTGAGGGGGGGCAGGTAGGAGCTGATGCTGGGGGATCTGGCTTACAAGTTGGTTACCTGCAACACTAGCTCTGTGATGCTGCCTGCGATCCCTCCCCCCACCGCACGCGGAGAGGGGCAGGAGAAGCTGCTGTGAAACTTCCTCTGTCCATGGGGCGGGACCCAAGCTTGCCATGGACAGGGGCTGCTTCCACCCTGTACTGCTGCCTCTGTATCAGAGGCAGCAGCACAGAGTGGCAGGCAGCTTTTAAACTGGCTCCCCTCACACCACTCCCTCCTGCCACCCCACACTGCTGCTTCTGATACAGAGGCAACAGCGTGAGGTAGCAGGTGGCCCTGTGGGAATGGGGCTAGAACACACTGGCTGCCAGCCCTGCCCCAGGGACTATCAAATAGTTGTGTAACCAATCATATTCTATGTGGTTACACAATTATTCAATTACATAATATCTAACACTCCTACGCCCTCATGCACACCAGTCACCTGCCCCAGGTCACAACCCCCTCCGGGTATGTCTACACTGCCACCCTAGTTCAAACTAGGGTGGCTAATGTAGGCATTCGAAGTTGCAAATGAAGCCCGGGATTTAAATATCCCAGGCTTCATTTGCATCTTGCCGGGCACCGCCATTTTAAAATCCCCCTTAGTGCGGACTCCATGCCCATGGCTACACACGGCACGGAGTAGGTATTTGGAATTAGGCTCTCCAATTCGAACTACCGGTACACCTCGTTCCACAAGGAGTAATGGTAGTTCAAATTAGAGAGCCTACCGTTACTCCTCGCGGAACGAGGTGTACTGGTAGTTTGAATTGGAGAGCCTAATACAAACTACATACTCCGTGCCACGTGTAGATGCGGGCACAGAGTCCGCACTAAGGGGGATTTAAAAATGGCGGCGCCCGGCAAGATGCAAATGAAGCCTGGGATATTTAAATCCCGGGCTTCATTTGTAACTTCGAATGCCTACATTAGCCACTCTAGTTCGAACTAGGGAGGCAGTGTAGACATTCCCTCCTTTATCCAAACTCCCTCTCAGATCCTACACTCCCTCCTACACCCTAAGCTCCCTTCTGTACTTCACCTCCATCCCAGACCTACATCTCCTCCATTCATATCATGCAAGAATGTGGTGCTTGACCACCTATCAAATTCTTGGAGTAGTCCACATAAAAAATTGTCCATCTCTGCTCCACACTGTTTTGGATTTGTTCTCCAGTGTTGTGCTCTTCATGTGTTCAAGTTGCCTGTTGATATCATGGGAGAGATTTGGGGGTTGAAATCTACTGTGGGATGGTAAAATTTCACTTTAAATGTAATTCTTAATATTTATCATCTCTTACTTTTATTCTCTACAAACAATGCACTGGAAAAATAACTGAAATTAATTGTTGTCATAATAAGTTTACAGTATATATTAAACAATGATAGGCTTACGCTCTAATTGTTAGAGACCAATTATAATTCAGAAGACGCTATGTGAACAAGAACAAGGAGGAGTCCTGTGACACCTTGAAGACTAACCGATTTATTTGTGCATAAGCTTTCATGGGAGCCACTTCATCAGATGAATAAACAATTCTCATTAAAGGTTGAGAATATTTAAACTTTTAAACAGGGTCCTTCGAAGAGACAGAGGGGGTTATGAAAAGCAGTCCTCTACTGTGAGACTTGCAAGTGAAAATACATAGACTGATTTGTAGCAGATGTTTTCCTCTTTAATTGCATAACCGTATACAAGTCTGCTGGTACAGATGAGATATGGAAACACTAGTACAGCGTTGTCTTAATGGAATTAAAGTCTGAATTGTAACATGCTTTTTATATTAAAACAAATTATTGGGATATAAACACTGCATCAGCCTAAATTTAATTTGCATAGCTGATGCTGACAGTTAAAGTTGGAGAACACATGAAAGAAAATAATTGAAGTCTCCTCTTTGCAGCTGATCTAGAGTCCTAATGTTAACATCTTAAAGGGAAGTGGCCAGCAACTGAAACAAAGTTTGAGAGATAAGAGTTCTTTAAGCACGTGAAAAAGATCCACTATAAACTCACTTTATACACTTGACTTCTTTGCTCTGAAAAAATCCTATACCTCTGCCTAGCATGCAACTTGGGTTATGCAATATAGACCTGTCCCATTTGGGAAGACTAGCAAAGGCCCTGATCTGGGGTGTTTGGTTTGGTTTATTCTTTGTATGGTTTCCTCCATTTCTTATTGAGGGAAGATATAAAGAGGGCAACATGCCCACAACATGCCTTGTATTTGAAAGTGTCCAGGGCCTCCATAGCTTCCATAGATATAGATAGTGCCTCCAAATCATGGAAGAAAAAGAGTTAAGTGCCCGTGCTATTTTCGGTAAAGACAAACTTGAAATTGAACAAAAGACACGAGGAGGAGCTAAATCTCCCCTCAAAAAATAATCCATTAACAAATTAGAATACTGGAGCAAATAAACCTCAATTAAAAAAATTCTGTATCTATAGCTGTATCCTCTCAGTCTGATCCTCCATGAGGCACTTGCCCATTTCAACTCCTAATGACATCTGGCCTACAGATGCTTCAGGAACATTATAGGGCTAGAAAAACTATTTCCAGCAGCCCATTTATTCCCCCCTTTCCCCTCAAAAATCCCCAATGATGGCTTCCTAGCTTGTTTTCTGTTGCTTTTGCGAAACTTACTTTT